TCCGAGCCCTGCACAAGTGGAGAAAAACAGTACGGTCTGAGCACACAGTTCCCCCTGTTAAATGTGTCAGCCTAGCGCTAACAAGATCACACCTAAGTGACAACGTAAGCCTGTCAGTAACGTGTCAGGCCATTATGAAGACTAGCAGGTGACGGGACCGTACCTTTCGGGTCACCGATATCCCAATTACGCCGCGTACATTTACGCCGACGTCGCTCAAAACACCAACCCAAACCAGCTCGCACCCAAGCGGGCTTTCTACCGTAGCTGGCGCGTTATTTCTCCTTCCCTGTCGCTTTTCTGACCGGCCATTGTGTCCCCCCGTTGTTTGTACAAGCGAGTTGTTTAAGCCCCCAATCAACAACCATTATTTACTGGGGGAGGAGATTTTTTCCTTACCTGCCCTGGCTCGAAAACACTCCAAAAACGCTGCCAACTACAACTCGTAGCAACCTCCTAAACCGGTACGGTAACTCTTACATGTGGTACGGTGGTCTACAGGTGACTAGGGGTAAGAACCCTACCTGAAATATGTGAAATGTCGGGCCGCACAGAGAGTCTTTTCATGGGAAGACCGAACCTGCCACGCATCGCTAACGAACTACAGGTAACATATTAGACAGCACACACACACCGAGGAAAGGCTGACCTTTGACCGCGCTGATTCAACAGAAAAAAAAACAGCGGGGCGGGAAAAAATGGGCGACAGCCTCCACATTCAAACCACATCCATAAGAAAAGGGGCCTAATGAACAAGCGTTTTGTCATGCAGAATGGTACTATTCTGAAGAAGCCCCAATCCACAATGTGAAAAGAACCACCTTGTAAAACCGGTTCCAAGTCGTCGTCGACACACAACCACAGAAAATAATTCTAAGAAATCCGAATAAATTGCCATAATAAAATTTGCTGGTTATGAAACATAAAAAAATTATATAGTGAAAAATACCTTGTTGGATCGGGTGGGAGCATAATAAAAGAATTATGCGTCAAAGTGAATTTTGAGAAATCAAATATCAACTACCGTGACCCAAGGACATTGCCCTTGCATTGCCTATACACATAAATTGTCTGATGACGCATTAATTTGTGTATTTCTTAAATGATGACAGTTTGCCACCTTTGGCGTGAAGGATTCACCTGATGAAAAAGGAAATGATACTCTATATCTGACTGTAGAAAAATAACCCGTCAGTCTCTTAAGAAGACGAGTAAGACAAACGAAGGAAGTCTACAAGATTTTATCCTGATCCTAAGACAGAAACTTGTGTCTTAGTCAGACTTATTTCTCTAGTCTCCACCAGACTCTTTTGCAGGCTGAATGAATAGTAGAAATCGGCCTAAAAAGAATGTAGCTGGCTTGGGGAGTTGTTCGGCCATAGAGGGTCCAGTTTGCCAGCTACATACTTTTTAGGCCGATTTCTACAATTTAATAAGCCCTGCAAAAGAGCCTGGTGGAGACTATATTTCCTCCGTCCCTGAACGATATATTGTGAGGTTTATTTATGCTAGCCTCTACCAGGCTTCGGGAGACGGCTGGAAAGAGTAGAAATCGGCCAAATAGAGAGAGATAACATGCCAGGCAGGGGTGTGGCAAAATGTTTTCTCCCAGCAGACAAACTCCCTTGGCATGTTATCTCTCTATTTGGCCGATTTCTACTCTTTCCAGCCGCCTCCCGAAGCCTGGTAGAGGCTATATTTATGCCAGTGCCGGGAAAACCTGCCGGTGTTAGTTCCCGTGTCTACTGTAGCAGCAGTCACGGAGTTTATACTCGGAACGCCGCCCTGTCTACCCTCAGAACAAACACTTGTGCGGTGAAGAGCGCTCGTTTCTGGTGCCCTGGAGAGGGGTGGTGTCTATTGTCCTAGTAATGAACTGTTCCAATTTCCAGGTTGACTCAGCTAATGTAGCCCTGTCACAAACGGCTGGTATAAGGAGCTTAGGGTCGGGGATAAACCGTTGATGTGCTACATTTGGGTAGGAAACTACCAGAAGGCATTGGAGCTTCGCACGAGTGTTGGTAAAGCTCCTCTTCACAACACTCGGGACCAGAGGTTAAACCTCTAAGGCTATCAGTGGAATTAATTCAAGAGACCCCGGGAGCTACCGGTTTTGGGTTCGATTCCCGTCGAGAGGAGGACATGTTGGTTCTCACCAAGATAAACCAAAGCTGGTTCTAAGTAAACATCGGTCAATTCCTACATTTCAAACATGGAAAAACTGCACGGTTCGCAAAAGAACGCGTCAGAATATCACTCCTAACCGTTGAAACGATGAGACAAATTGAAATACACATCCGGCTAATGTTACCAAGCAAAACATTGGCGCCTGTAACGGTCTTTGGTTCTAATCTCAAAGTATAACAACATTGAGCGCAACCACAACACTAGAAACGTGTTGGCCATATTCCGATCTCTCTCAGAATTATACCTGTAAAAACCCGCATAATTCGTTACTCCTAAATGTATTTCTTTAAGAACATTTTTACGGTGCCTTTTTAACCCTAAAACTGTGGGACCCGACAGCTGACATACAAGCCAGCTTGAAGCTCAGATTGCGGGTTTATTAATTGCAGGGGATTAAAAGCGTTAAATTTTCATGCATTTCTAAATCCTGGTGCGGCGATTAGTACGGGGCATTACGTGGGATAGGATTACAGGAAGCTCTCACCAGGGATGGACGGGACATCTTTTTCATTCATCACAAAAATAAGATGACCCCCCCCCCTTCAGCAGACGCAATGCTTCCGGATATAATATAATTTCCGCTGTTTTCGCAGACGTTTATATCTCATATCCAACCTACACATCAGCACTGGATATATTTTGTTTTTAGAGTTGTTTTTCTTCTACAATTTGCAGAGAATTTTTTTGTCGTATCTTGTTTACGCTCAAGGCGACTATTTGCGTAGCGTGCGGGAAAAGAAAGCACAAATCGTCTCACATACAAGCTAAAAAAATACAACATTTTTATGTGATACACATGGTGTTTAGGATAAGTTTCTTAGATATTTCAGTAGCAAGGAACGTTTTGAACGCCAAAAAAGCTTAGTAAGTAAAACTTGTGGAACCTAAAGTAGCGATAGTCTGATAGTGAATATGTAAAACCGGCAACAGTTGGTGGGGAGGTAAGACAACTCATACCCCGAACTCACGCTAAATTTCACCCATCAAGACCCAACAAAAACACCCTAAACCTACGGCTAACCCCTAAACCTAACGCAGCATCTTATAAACATTAAAACCTGTAGCTTAGACAATCTAACCTGTAATGATACAGTTTAACAACACACTGAGACAACGAACGAAGCGGCGACCGGCGCCGGCGAAAATAGTAAATCATTCCGTACAGCCGCAGGCCTAGACCCGTAAAACAAGACCTAAAATTGTGTCCTCAACAAAACCTATCATTGTAAGAGTACATCTTGTACTTACCAAAGGCACAGGTAATCCAGAAACAGTAGGGTAGAAGTATCCAAGGGGTAAGCGGGGATTGTACTAGAGAGAGCGCGGTTTGTGTGACCGTACACCACGGTGTCTAGTCGTGGTTGTGAGGAAATCGCGGATGCGCGCACTCTGCATAAGATTTACCTCCTAACGATGTGCTAACAATGTGATGGGACGACACAATGGCACTTCGCACAACACATGGAAGTCATTATAATCATTAGTTCGCGCCGCTGAATGGACGGGCCTAATGAGGAAGGCGGGGCTAATTGTCATTACTATACAGGGCACACCCTCTAATGACGGCAAAAACAACAGCAATATTGAGCAGTAATTTGCATCCATTGTGGAGAAATGAGCGTAAGGTGGAGAGAAAATAGCAGGGGGGAGTCAATTATACTGATGATGACAAAAACGACAAGTTGTTACTTACGACTCAGAGCGAGGGAAAAATGGTTGAAATGTGTGTGATGTGAGTGTAGGGGAATTTCAAGGCGAGGGTCTCCACCCCGGTGTGTACTCTGGACTTGTTCTGAGAACAAGGTAAATAATGGTGCTGATAAGGAGAAAAAGTCGTATAAACTGTAGATTTTTTAGGTCTTTAAAAACAAT